CCCCCCCCCCCCGCTTTTTTTAAAAAATAGATTTATTTATTTATTTTTGGCTGCATTGGCTCTTCCTTGCCATGCGCGTGCTTTCTCTAGTTGCGGTGAGCGGGGGCTACTCTTTGTTACGGTGCGCGGGCTTCTTATTGTGGTGGCTTCTCTTTATTGCTGAGCACGGGGTCTAGATGTGTGGGCTTCAGTAGTTGTGGTTCACGGGCTCTAGAGCGCAGGCTCAGTAGTTGTGGTGCATGGTCTTAGTTGCTCCGTGGCATGTGGGATCTTCCCAGACCAGGGCTCAAACCCGTGTCCCCTACACTGGCAGTCAGATTCTTAACCACTGCGCCACCAGGGAAGCCCCCCCCTTTTTTTTCAGATGTAAATGTACTTTTTATTAAATCAGAAAAAGATACAGTATACATGGTATCAGTCAATCATATGGCTACTTTGGATTACATTTTAATACGCTCATCGTCCTATGTACTCCTCTGTACAAGTATTAAAAAAAACTCAGGTATTTGAATAATCTTCTGTAAATTTTTATTATTAACTGGGGTTATAGTGAGGGTATACATGTATTAGATGTATTAGAATGTATTAGATGTATTAGAATGTATTAGAAATTGAATGCCTGTCCTCGTGTTACCAGGTACATGTATTTACTGCTGTTATTTTTCTAGCTGAGGAGCTAAGCTATGCAAAGAAGAAGTGATATTATATTCTGAAAACATATTTATCAGAAGAAAACAGGATATAATGTGCTAAAAAACAGAACCCCTTTGAACGTCAAAGTCTCATTAAACCCAAAAGAGGAACAAACCTAGGGGTGTGAGGAGATCATTATTCTTGGAGAACAGAAACCTCTCTGAGCTTATAATATCCATTGAACAACAACAACACTTACACAATCAGTAAGATCTAAACTCTGACACAGATCTGACTGAAAACTAACTTTTAAAATATTTTTATTTAGAATGTAAGACAAAATAGAGATTTGGAGGTTAGAGCCTTGTTTGAAATTAGCTGAGTTCGAAATGAGTCTGGCTGACCCAGGAAGGATGCTGCTGTTCTGACACTCAGTCCAATAGTTCCTCTGAACGTAAGAAATGAAGGAAAATCTACTACTCGAGATCAGTAACAATTATCCTTCAAGTCTCAACTGAAATGCCATTTCTTCAGGGAGATCTTTCCTGATCAACTTACATTATTAACCCATTTGAATGTCCTTTTATATTGTTCTCAAGTGCACAGAATGGAGTTAATCTTCCCCAGTGACTTCACAGCACCTTGTAATCACTGATCAGAATAAGGACGCTCTCCTCTCTTCCCTTGTCTCCATTCTCACTCCCTCCCTTCCATTCTAATGTGTCTGGTATGTCTTTAAGTATGAGGATGGCTTTTAGGAAGATGTAGCATTGTTTTCCTGTGTGTATTTAAAAAATATATTTTTAATGGAGTGTAATTGCTTTACAATATTGTGATAGTTTCTGCTGTACAACGAAATGAGTCAGCTACATGTATACATATATCCCCTTCCTCTTAGACCTCCCTCCCGCCCCCGATCCCACCCATCTAGGTCATCACAGAGCACCGAGCTGAGCTTCTTGTGCGTTATAGCATGTTCCCACTAGCTATCTATTTTACACATGGTTGTGTATATATGTTATTCCTAATCTCCCAATTCGTCCCACCCTCTCCTTCACCCCCGTTTCCACATGTCTGTTCTCTACATCTGTGTCTCTACTCCTGCCCTGCAAATAGGTTCATCTGTACCATTTTTCTAGATTCCACGTACATGTGTTAATATATGATATTTATTTTTCTCTTTCTAGCTTACTTTGCTCTGTATGACAAACTCTAGGTCCATCTACATCTCTGCAAATGATCCAATTTCGTTCCTTTTCATGGCTGAGTAATATTCCATTGTATATACGTACCACATCGTCTTTATCCATTCAACTGTCGATGGACACTTAGGTTGTTTCCATGTCCTGGCTATTGTAAGTAGTGCTGCAATGAACATTGGGGTACATGTGTCCTTTTGAATTATGGTTTTCTCAGGGTATATGCCCAGTAGTGGGATTGCTGGGTCGTATGGTAGTTCTATTTTTAGTTTTTTAAGGAACCTCCATCCTGTTCTCCATAGAGGCTGTATCAACTTACATTCCCACCAACAGTGCAAGGAGGTTCCTTTTCTCCACACCCTCTTCAGCATTTACTGTTTGTAGATTTTTTGATGGTGGCCATTCTGACAGGTGTGAGATGATACCTCATTGTACTTTTGATTTGCATTTCTCCAATAATTAGTGATATTGAGCAGCCTTTCATGTGCCTCTTGGCCATCTGTATGTCTACTTTGGTGAAATGTCTACTTTGGTGCAATGTCTACTTTGGTGAAATGTCTATTTAGGTCTTCTGCCCATTTTTGATTGGGTTGTTTGTTTTTTTGATATTGAGCTGCATGAGCTGTTTGTGTATTTTGGAGATTAATCCTTTGTCTGTTGCTTTGTTTGCAAATATTTTCTCCCATTCTGAAGATTGTCTTTTCGTCTTGTTTATGGTTTCCTTTGCTCTGCAAAAGCTTTTAAGTTTTATTAGGTCCCATTTGTTTTTATTTTCCTTACTCTAGGAGGTGGGGTCAAAAAAGATCTTGCTCTGGTTTATGTCAAAGAGTGTTTTTCCAATGTTTTCCTCTAAGAGTTTTCTAGAGTCCAGTCATACATTTAGGTCTTTAATCCATTTGGAGTGTATTTTTGGGTATGGTGTTAGGGAGTGTTCTAATTTCATTCTTTTACATGTAGCTGTCCTGTTTTCCCAGCACCACTTATTGAAGAGATTGTCTTTTCTCCACTGTATGTTCTTACCTCCTTTGTCATAGCTTAGGTGACCATAGATGCGTGGGTTTATCTCTGGGCTTTCTATCCTGTTCCGTTTCTGTTTTTGTGCCAATACCATACTGTCTTAATTAATGTAGCTTTGTAGTATAGTTTGAAGTTGGAGAGCCTGATTCCTCCAGCTCCGTTTTTCTTTCTCAAGATTGCTTTGGCTATTCAGGGTCTTTTGTTTTCCATACAAATTGTAAAATCTTTTGTTCTAATTCTGTGAAAAATGCCATTGGTAATTTGATAGGGATTGCATTGAATCTGTAGATCGCTTTGGGTAGTATGGTCATTTTCACAGTATTGATTCTTCCCATCCAAGAGCATGGTATATCTCTCCATCTGTTTGTGTCATCTTTGATTTCTTTCATCAGTGTTTTATAGTATTCTGAGTACAGGTCTCTTGCCTCCTTAGGTAGTTCTATCCCTATGTATTTTATTCTTTGTATTGAGATGGTAAATGAGATTGTTTCCTTAATTTCTCTTTCTGATTTTTCATTGTTAGTGAATAGGAATGCAAGAGATTTCTGTGCATTAATTTTGTATCCTGCAACTTTACCAAATTCATTGATTAGCCCTAGTAGTTTTCTGGTGGCAACTTTAGGATTTTCTGTGTATAGTATCATGTCACCGGCAAACAGTGACAGTTTTACTTCTTCTTTTCCATTTGGTATTCCTTTTATTTCTTTTTCTTCTCTGACTGCCATGGCTAGGACTTCCAAAAGTATGTTGAATAATAGTGGTGAGAGTGGACATCCTTGTCTGGTTTCTGATCTTAGTGGAAAGGCTTTCAGTTTTTCACTATTGAGAATGATGTTGGCTGTGGGTTTGTCATATATGGCCTTTATTATTCAGTGAGCCAAAAAGTGCCTTTGGTTTTTTAAGTAAAAATAAAAGGCACATTTTTCATTTTCACCAAGAACTTTATTGAACAACTTATTCACCATTTTTTTTACACTACCTTCTGCCAGTTTTCAGGCAACTTCATAATTCCATCTTCCCAAAACTTTTTATATTTTTGAGCAAAGAGCTGTTCCGGGTGCCTTGTACAGTCTTCCAGGGAATTGAATTTTTTTCCATTAAGAGAATATTGTAAAAACCGAAATACATGGAAATCTGAAGGTGCAACGTCTGGTCAATACAGCAGATGAATCAGAACTTCCCAGTGAAGCTGTAACAGTTTCTGCCTGGTCATCAAAGAAACATGAGGTCCTGCATTATCCTGATGGAAGATTATGCGTTTTCTGTTGATAATTCTGTAAGCTTTTCATCAAGTGCTTCTTTCAGTTGGTCTGATTGGGCGCAGTACTTGTTGGAATTAATTGTTTGGTTTTCTGCAAGGAGCTCATAATAGAGGACTCCCTTCCAATCCCACCATATACACAGCATCACCTTCTTTGGATGAAGACCGGCCTTTGGTGTGGTTGCTGGAGTTTCATTTCACTTGCCCCACGATCTCTTCCTTTTCACATTATTGTATAGTAACCACTTTTCTTTGCCAATCACAATTTGTTTTAAAAACGGAACTTTTCATTAT